CTTTATTTTGTTTTCATTGGCTTCAACTGGCCATCCAGAACGTGGTGCACCTTCAATATTGAAATTGCCAGAACGAAATTTTGTAAATCAGTTTTGGCACTGTCTTTCTCTTAACACATCATCTCCATACATGTACCACAATTTTTTTCTTGCTTGAACAGCATTTTGATTTTTTGGTAATAAAAAAGCAAAGTATGCCGAAAATGATGCTTTTGATCTTCCATATTTGATGGGACACAAAAAATAAACAATTGCACAAAATCAAACAAAATTTTTTACAAATAAGCCTTAAAATGCTAGCTGTCAAAATATATAATGATAATATGGTTTAGAATAAAAATGGTGGGAAAAATACGACTAATCCGTCTAGTGGTAAAAAAAAACAAACTTACTTTCCGAACAACCCAATACATATTGTAAAATTAAAAAGTGATTCTTAAGAAACTTGAAAATATTCCAAAAGTTCCTTAACTTTACTTTCATTACTTAAATTTTGTATAATAAAACTTAAAAATGTGAATTTAAAAAAAATGTCAATTGTAGAATATTTTGACAGCTTTAAAATAGTAGACTTGAAAAAACATCATTACTGAAAGAATTTCAAAGGTTTTTAATAAATGGAATGGACAAGTTTATTTCTTCTTTCTGTCACTAAATTAGCTGTGGATCAAGTATGTCCATTACATACATGAAAATTGATTTTGTATATATACTGTATAGTGTAATGTCAATTTGAAACAGAATTTCTACTGCAAATGTGCTAATAGCTGCATAGATCTATTATAATTTTTCTTTTACAAATATAGCATTTCAAACCACTTTAACTCAACAAATCTGAAATCCATTGCAGTGAAAATGTAAAACTAAGTTCTATATCCAATCTTTGTTGTTCAGCATTACAGATATTTGAAATTTACAAATAATTTAGAAAGCAATGAAAAGATTAACTTGAGTGAAGGTGCAAATAATATGCTTCTTTGAAATTATTTCTAAAGGATTAAAAGGTATTGCTTTTTTCTCTTGACAGGTTGATAGTCTGATGCCTTAAACACTTTGGCTATCACCCCATGGGACCCGAGAATGAATCCGGGTGGGTGAAATGTCCTGGGAATTTTTCACGGGCAGTTTGTTGTGGATATGTCAGGCCTCATTCCTCAACATTTAGTTGCTGCCATTTTGGGCTAAGACAAAAATGGGGGTGACTGGGTTGTGTAACAATGACTAAAGTGTGGAGAATGCCCTCTTAGTATCTACAGGGTCGGAGAGAGTCAAAATATTAAAAAATATTCTATTATCTGTAATTTGTCTGAATTAAAGATGTTTGATGTTTAATTAATATTCATTATATAAAAAAAAATAGTGAATATTAATTAATTCATTCTTATTAAAAAATTTGGATTATATTGCATTTTACAATTTAAAAGTTATAGAATTTTAACCTTTTCACCACAATATGAAACATAAATTTAGTTAGCATTAATTACAATTACCAGAATATTACAGTAGAGTATCGATTATCCGAATACAGATCACTGAAACATCGGTTAACTGAAAGCGTTCCAGTAGGCAAATTCAAATTTTTGCTAGGGCTGTGGCGTTGCAGCAATCCTCCCCTCCTTGCCAAACTAAACTGTAGGTCTAGTTTAATGTATTACATTATGTAAGGTATGTATTTGTATGATGTGTGATACAAATTATATACAGTACAGTTTTGTGTTTAATATATTTTTTGTAAATGATCAGTTATCAAAACAACCCCAGTCCCGAATTATTTTGGATAATCGATGCTCACTCTATTTAATATTGTCTGACTAATGTTAAATAACTTATTAAAGTAAAACATTATGGAACTATTAATTCAATATTTATATTTGCCTTTTTCAGGAAACAGTCAATATTTCGATTCTTCTAACAGACGAAGCAGAAGTCCCAGTGGACAGGTGGACATCAAGGACCAGTCCGGCTCCTATCAAAGTTCTGACTCAGACTTTTATTGACGGTCGTTGTCTCCGTCTTCCTTGGAAATGAAAATTCTACTTCACAAACTGATGTGCCTTTGTTAAAATAGTATCGTGACCAATGGATTCTTATCCTAGCATTTTTGTGATTATTAATGATTTATTTTAAGAGAGGGGAACATTGTAAAAAAGTTATTTGTTGTTTTTCTGTTGACAGTTAAAGTTTTAGAAAATACTTTATTCTCCGTGTATAAATATGTATAAAATTTCACTTTATTGTAAAAAGATGACATTCCTGAAAGTTGTCCTATTTAGATGATATAAAAGTGTTTTAAATAACAACAAATGTTTGATTTAGGTCTTTCAAAGTTTTACAGAATATTTAATGAAATCCTATTTCTTTCTGAAACTATTTAGAAAGAATCTTAATATAGGAAATGAGATTGTACCTTTTTAAGAGTTTGAATGTAATGATTTTATTGGGTTTGAAAAATCTCATTTTTTTTTTATTAAAGTAATATTTACTGAATTTGTTATAATTATTTATAACCAAGCAATTCATTTATTTTCCCATTTAAAAGCCTTATTTGAAATTTTAAGCTACATTGATTTTTCCCTCACAATGAGAATATTATCTACAAGCTTGAATTAAATTTCTTTTCAATATAGTATGGTTGCTGTTTATTCAATTTCTATGTATAGTGTCCTTTTAATCTGAAAAATTTTTTCGGTAGACAATCTCGCAGCTTTCTGGTCAGAAAATTACGGTTTTATTTCAAAAATTGAACTACAAATGCATTTCAGGTTGGTTTAAGTTTCCAACCCATTTTCAGTGCTGTTCAAAAAAATAGACACAAACAAAAGAGGGGTTGGAAACTTAAACCAACCTGAAATGCATTTGTAGTTCAATTTTGAAACAAAACCGTAATTTTCTGACCAGAAAGCTGACAGATTGTCTAACAAGAAAAATTTTTTGGATTAAAAGGACGCTATATATAGAAATTAAATTTCTTTTATTAAATTAAGTTATTTTAATTAATAAAAGAATTCTGTGTTAAAAATTTTGAAAATAAACTGTTATATTGAAATTAATTTCTGAAAACTCTACAAAATCACAATTTAGTTTGATTTCATATAGGAATATGAGAGAATTCTGAGTAAGTAATGCTATTAATGAGTTAACTTTCAGTCTTAATCTATAAATATATAAATTAAATTTTTGATATTTCAGAATGCCAGAATCATTGAGGATAATCTAATTTGAGTTTGGTTTTTTATTTGATATTTAAGTAAAAGTTCTGAAAATTGTCTCTATAATAGAGATAAATGTGCTACTAGTTTCTATTTAAAAATCATTTATTTATTATGGATCGATAAATTTATTTTCTTGAAAAATGACAAATTTTATTAACATATTGATTCTCAATATAAAAAATTTTTTTTTTATTTCTGCTTTCGTAATCTTTTTCACACTTGCATTTACTCATTTAAAATAAAATATACATTGCTAACCTAAAAGTAATGAACGTTTGAGTGATGGAGGCAATTACAACCCTCTGCTAAAAGTAATTAGATCATCTTCAAAACTATTGATTTTGTAGTTTTGATTGCATATAACTATTTTCAGTTAAGTTTTACAAATTTACTTAAATAAATATTGAATTTTGAGAAAAAAAATTAACAGAAAAAAATTCAAACAATATAATTTTTTGTAATGTTAAAACACATTAAAATCACTTGCATATGTGAGACAAAAATTTTAGACTGGCAAAATTCTTTGACAAAAATATTAGACCATGCTTGTTTGAAATCTTGTAGGATTACTTATGGCTTTTATTAAAGATGCAGTTCATTTTGGAATTTGATCTACAAGATATTGACACTCATTTGGTGGAATTTCATTTCCAACATCTCTTTCAATTCCTCCTTGTTGCTCGTGGTTTTGTTTTAAATGTTTTTTTCCTTCAAAATACTGTACCACAAATTTTTAATTAGATTCATATCAGGAACAGTCGTAGTGTTTGTATTAGGTATTTCCTGCAGGTGCACAGCTTTTTGTCTTCAAGTGTCATGGATGCATGTTCAATTTGCTTCAAAGATGGCAGCCCGGTTTGGGATCTAGTAGTTATATGTCATTGGAAATAACTATAGGAAAGTGACCATGCACATGCTTATTGATGAAATACAGAATTAAAGAATAATTCTGAAACCAACAGGGATAGGCAAGAAAGTCCAATTACAAAATTATTTATTAGTACAAAATAATACTTCAGCGGAAACAACTAAGAAAGTAGTAAACATTTATACACACGACAACACAGATGTAATGCAAAATTTGTGCAGCACAGGTGCAGCTGATCTATCAAGTAGTGTATTGTACACAGTGTATAAAGTGTATATCATCAGTGATGATACAATTCTGGATTTGGGACAGAATTGTATCTTGAACAGTATGCAGCATTTCAGGGGTTAAGAAAATGGAAAACTCTTCTGAAACAAACTGGGGGCCATTTTCTGACACAATACTGTCAGTTATACCATGAGTAGTCATCAGTTCTCAAAGTGCCTTAATCACTGCTGTTGTTGTTGTAGAAATCATGAGCTTCACCTCTAACCATTTTGATGTCACACCTACTACTACTAGAAACATTTTTCCTTGAAATGGGCCTGCAAAGAGTATGTGGAGACTAGACTATGGTCTTTTTGTGGTTTTCCACAGGTGAATATGGGCAATAGGAGGTGAGAAGCGATTATTCTGACAACCTTGACAGGTGTTTACCATTAACTCAATCTCATAGTTGATGTGTGGCCACTACACATATGATTATACCAATGCCTTCATTCTCACAATACCAGGGTGGTCAATATGAAATTTGTTCAGAATTTTCTTCTGTATCTGATACAGTATTATTACTCCAGTTCCCCATAGCAAGCATTCCTTGTACAGCGATAGTTCAGTATGACAACTGAAAAATGCAGAAAGATCGAGTTTATAATCATATGCATTGAGAATCTGTGTCCAATGCAGCATATGGAGTGAAAAAAATTAATGTCAGCTTATCAGTTGTAAATAGTCCCAAAAGTGGTTTGTAGTCTGTATAAATAATAAATTTTGTTCCAAAAAGGAAATGATGAAAACAGTTTACTTCATAAACAACAGCACCATCTTCCTTATTGATTTGTGTATAGCCATGTTCAGTCTTTGTTACTGTGTGAGATGCAAAAGCCATAGATGATTCTTTTCCATTCTGTGAATGCAAACTGAGAACTGCACATATGCCTGCAGGAAAAGTATGATTTCCTTGGTTCTATTAAAGGGAACAAATATGCTTTCTCGTGAAAGGAGAGTTTTTAGTTCATTGAAGGCTCTTTGATGTATTTCTGTCCATTTCCAGGATGTGTCCTTTGTCAATAGTCTGTATAGGGGTTCTGTGATAGTGACCCTATGGTGCAGAAAATTATAAAAGTTCACTAAACCAAGAAAAGCCTGGAGTTCCTTCTGATTTGTTGGAACAGGAGCCTTTCGAATTGCAGTGACCTTTGATGGTGATGGACTTTGTCCAGCACTATCGATTTGATAGCCTAAAAACTCAACATTTGACACACCAAATAGACATTTGTCCTTGTTTACATGTAACCTTACTCCAAACTGAAGATGATTTACCTTGTATGCTCCTCAGTGAGTGATGATTGATTGTAGCTGCTGAGACATCATCCACAGGTAGTTGTAAATATGCCCAGGCCAAGTCCAATTTTGCAAATATTGTTGCAGGTGGGAGAGATACCAACAGAGAAAGCACATCTGTATCCAATTCCACTTGTGGTCTAACAGTTTTGTTCAAAGTTACTTTATAATCACCACAAAGTCTTATTTCACCAGATGGTTTCATAACAGGCACAACTAGTGTAGCCCATGCTGAATCTTCAATAGGTTCAAGGACACCTTCTCTTAATAGAGCATCAATTGTTGCTTCAATTTTTGGACAGAGTGAGTGGATGTGCTTTCATTCAGATTGGTGGGTGTGTTTAGTCCACAGGTAACAATGGTAAGACCTCTGTATTTGCCCAGTTTCCCATTGAATACTTGTGGGAAATCCTCAATGACCCTTGTAATACTATCACAAGAAACAGTATTGACACCACACAATTTAATTCCTAACGGTTCAAACCAGCGCATACCAAGAAGGTTAGGATGACAATCAGTTGCAATAAGTAGTTGGAGTTGACATGCATATCCATTGTATGAGACACTGTCCTTTAAGGTTGATTGATTTATGCTGAAAATAATGGAGCAAAAAAGGAACTAGCTGTATCTTGGGTGTCTTGGTAGGCCACAGACATGAACTTGTCCTCACTGACAATTGTACCAGAGTCTACTTCTGACATGGATGGCCATTGAGTTGAACAGTGATCATACACTGTTAACAACCTTGGCCCAACTACACTATCCCTGAAATGAATGATAATGCAACATCAATATCATTTGGAATGCTTGAGCTTGAGAGACACCTTCTTCGCACCTCCATGGAGACACACGGTTATCACTGGCCTGAAAACCTCCACGGAATTATGAACAATAGTGACACCTGTGCTGCACTACTTCACCTCATTGACATGTACTTTAAAAGGACTACTGTTGCTGCTTTCAACTAAAACCTCACTTACTGTGTTCTGTGCCTTTATTGCACATCATCCTGATATTATGTATTTTTATAACTGTATCACTAACCTCAGCATCTCATATCACTTATTTTCGCATCACTGTAATGATATGTAATTATCTATATGTATATTTTGTACAAATTGTATGTATGTATAATTCTTCTTACTGCTATGTACCCATTAATTTTATTGTCTCATATTTCATACCTTTATATTTTTATATCATTATACTTTTATATTTTCTTATTT